GGGCAACATGTTGGCAATGAAGACACGTATGCAAGAGGTGTTATGCAGTGAGATGTAGTTTGTGGCGCCATCAGGGCAGGACTATGGGTCAGGCGTTCAGGCCCCCACTCAGGTGAATGAGCAAGAGGGTTCCCAAATATAGCAGAATGGACTCACCACATTTGAAGTAAGCAAATCACCATCTAAAGGGCAGGCTTGCCATCCAGACCATTAAGTTCAGTTTAATATGACCTAACTTCTCTACTGGAGCCATTAGACCATAGAATTAAGATTTCAGGGTAACCTAGGCTGCAATTCTATGCATACTTAGGCTGTGCACAACATGCTTCTGAAGCACGTGACTCCCTCACCCCCAAATTCCTGGGAATAATAGTTTGATAAGGGTGCTGGGAACCGTTGCTCTGTGAGGGGGTAAACTACAGTTCCCAGGATTCTTTAGGGGGGAAGATGTGCTTTTAATGTATGACATGTGCACAGCCTAGGACAGGCTTAAGCCCCATTTAACACAATGGGACTTCCAAGAGTATGGTCACATAATCCATGTCCATATGATATTGTCAGTAATGCATCCTATTTCTTTCTGGAGGGAAAAGTGGTTGAAATCTGATGGGGCACTCCCCCCCCCCGAATTTACAGCGATTGGAATCCACAAGTTGATGCAAATTCATCTTTAGCTAAAGCATGAACACCTTTTCCAAAGCTGCCTCTTCTGCTGCAGGTAGTCCTGCAGTACTGATGTCATTGTGGGAATGAACCAAATTCAAAATGCTTCTTCAGAGCACAGGGGCAACGTCACATCCAGATGTGACTCTCTGACTCTCAAACCATTGAGTGTGTGCAGATGAGATCAATAAAACATACATGCATGAACGGTGGATGGGGCGAAAACAGTACAGTGTTACAGTGGTACCTCAAGTTACATACGCTTCAGGTTACCGACTCCGCTAACCCAGAAATATTACCTCGGGTTAAGAACTTTGCTTCAGGATGAGAACAGAAATCGTGCAGCGGCAGCAGGAGGCCCCATTAGCTAAAGTGGTGCTTCAGGTTAAGAACAGTTTCAGGTTAAGAACAGACCTCCAGAACGAATTAAGTACTTAACCTGAGGTACCACTGTACCTTGGTTGTCAAACTTAATCCATTCCAGAAGTCCATTCGACTTCCGGAGCCATTCAAAAACCAAGGTGTGGCTTCCAATTGGCTGCAGGTGCTTCCTGCACTCCATCGGAAGCTGTGGAAGCCATGTCGGACATTCAGCTTCCAAAGAATATTCGAAAACGGAACACTTACTTCTGGCAGTGACGAAGCTGCATGCTCCAGTCCCGGGGCAGAAAGCAGGCAGGGGCGTGGCAGGCGTGTGTCCTGGGGGCGTGGCACGCTGCCCACGGGGGTGTGGCGTGTGTCCCGGGGGCGTGGCACGTTGCCCACAGGGCGCATGGCATGCGTCCCAAGTGGGTGTGGCATGAATCCCGGGGGCATGGTGCGCCACCTGCAGGGGCATAGCGCCTGGCATGGTGGGGGGTGTGTGGCTCATGTCCAGGGGGTGGCCGTGATGGTACCCCCTCCTTCCAGATGGTGCCCAGGGCGGTGCCTTTCCTTTGCCAGTAACTACCGGGTTTGTGGCATTCGGGAGCCAAAATGTACGAGTAACAAGGCGTTCAAGTACCAAGGTACGACTGTACTGCCCTGTAAATGCCCACTGGTGTGAACACACATTGAAATGAATCAGCCACAAGGAACCCATGGTGATGTGAACATCTTGGGAGGGAGCAGGAGGGAAGCATTTTGAAGCACAACAGGGGGGGAAAACAGACTTCAGTGCGCTCTAAAATGCGAACAAACCCTAAGAATTTGTGCAAAGGACTGAGTACAGACCTCACAAGCTCTAAGGATTAATATAGTGTGCCGATGTTAGGCAAACATTGTTCGGTGTGGAGCAAAGGAAGAGGAAACAGGAGGCAGTGACAATGAGTTAAAAAATAATAAAAGAGAGTGAGTTATTTGTCAAGCAAGCCTTCCTCCATTCATCTACCTTCTTGTTCCCCCCTCTCTCTCTTTCTCCCCACCCCCCCGTCTCTCTTTTTTTCAAATTAAACAGCAAATTATACTTATCAAAGGGAAGAAGGTAAAGAGAAATCTGAAAGGCTGTGGGAAAAGCTTTAATTATTAGTATAGTGGCATGAAAAGCTGTTGAGCTCCTTAGAAATGTACATGGCCAATTATCAAAAAATATAAGAGATGCCGAAAGAAAGGTTTGTCTAATAAGTATGAATCGCGGGCCATTTAGAACATCAGTGTTAAAGCATTAGAGTTAAATGGAAAAGTAAAAAGGGGCTGATGGTTTTAACTATTTCACAGGAGGACAAGAGGTTGATACTGATAAGACAAGCAGTATAGTGAAGTTAATTATCTGCGGCCCATGGTGCACAAAGCTGCTTGAGCTGGTGATTAATAGAGATAAACCATTCAAACTCCACATTTCTAAGGTGAATGAAGATGGCACGGGAGCTGCAGCCGCAGCATACTAACTAATTTGACAGCAGTGGGTTCTGTGTGCCTTCCGAAGGCATCCGCCGGATTTATCGCTTCCAATCTGGAGCCTTCTTTCCCCTCCAGCCCAAGGTAAGATTTAGAAACGGAGGTGTCGATGGGCTGAATTTCTACACACACACACACACACACACACACACACACACATTGGGGGCTTGCTGAACTTCAACACCTGTCAGCAAAAGAGCAACCTGACCATTACCTACACTGTGAATTTTAGACAGTCAATTCTCACAATATGGCCACATACATTTCGGCCTTGAAAATAGTCACCCATCTGATTGCCTGTGGCAAGGGAAAGCTGTTACCAAGCAAATGGGTGTAGAGGGTTAGTTTTTTTGAGGGGGGAGAGTTGGCTGGCAAAAAGTTGGGGTAGCTAAATATTCTGCCACAAATAGCTGCCACATTTGTTGGAAGGCTGGCAGGCAAAATAATAATAATTTTTTGAATATGCAAGTACCGTAACTTTTGTGGACTTCCTTGAAAGACAATTAGAATAGTCCCCTCTCTTGCAGATGTGGTCGCCATTGGCCCACCCATTAGACAAATGGGATATTTGTCCTGGCTGCCAAGAATGTAGGTCCTGCTGAGCCTTTTTTTTTAAAACCCTGTAAAGTACTTCTGCTCCTGTCTCTGAATACTCCATTATTGTCTACCTTGGACACAGAATGGGCAAGCTCCCAACCTACTTTGGGCAAGTTAGGGGAGGAAGAATGAACGCAGAGAGATTGAACTTACTGATGACAAGCTTTGTGCCTGCTCCACCTCACCTTTACCTTTCTCTAGATTTGTAGAGTATTTCAACATCCCCTACAGCAAGAATGGATAACCTTTAACACCCTGAAGGCCACATGCACTCATGGACAAACTTCCTGGGGCCACATAGCATTGGTTGTGTTCAGACATGCGCCACTCTCCAACCAGGCTTTCGAGAGGTGTTATTACAGTTCAAGGGCACATTCCAGCCAAGTAGAATCACTATAGGAGGGCACGGAGCATGTCCAGTGAAGGGTGTGGCCTTGAGAGGTGGTCTGGATAGAGCTTTGAGGTAGAAACACCTGCAGGGTCACTTATGTCCTGGGCCTGAGATTCTGAACACCTGCCCTATAGGGTTTAGGGACTACATACCTACCTACACATAGGTGCTTAAAGGAGCTTAGGGATGGGTGATTGTAGGCAGGAGATGTTTGAGTAGGGTCCTTTTAGAAAGGATCAGATGTAGACTATCCCAACAGAATGCATGTGAACAAACTGGACCATGGTCAATTCATTCCATTCATCTTTACAAAGCAAATAAGTTAGGCAATGAGAGGTTTACAACATTTGAATCTGGCAGATAAGGCTTTAAGAACTGATAGGAACTATATGGACATTCTAGATGAATAGATAGACCTTGATACTAACAGCTTTCCAACCAGATATCCAGAGGGTAAGTGGTGTATCCAAAGAAAAATCCAGAACTTTAGTCTGGATCAACCAACAGCAATAACTCAGATGCCTCCTGAAAGCTTTGGGATATGCTCATGAGCGTTGTGGTTGCCACTGATAAATCACACACACAAAAAGAAATAGGCATGAGCAGGGCTTTTTTTTCCCCAGCTGAAGCTCACCAGAGCTCAGCTCCAGCATCTCTCAGGTGGGCACCATTGCCATTCTATAAGAGAACAAGGGAGGCGTTCATGAAAAAAAGCACATCAACTCTGGAGCTCCCCTGACCCCCTCAAATATTTTACTGGGGGGCCTGAAGACCCCTAGGAGTTGGGCTCCTGTGGCCATAGTTGATGTACCAGCTGTGGCTCCTAGTCACAGAGGCCACCTGAGCTTCCAGTGACAAAGATGGTTGTTTGGATGCTGGGTCCAGGTGGTCTACCCATTGAGAAACAACCGTGGGGTAGACTTGGAAGACGAGTTTCTAATGGGGCTAATCCAAACTTCCTTTTGTGCCACATTTCTAGGCACAGGTCTGTGCTTTAAATCACCATGTCTGAGGGCCCCCCCTTTTTTTCCTGGCACGTCCCCCACTGTTTCCTGCTGAATTGGAGCAAATGGTAATCTGCAGAAAACCTGAATTTGCTTTTGTCCCAGTACAGCATTAAAGAGTAGGTTTTCAGGGGGAAAGTGCCTAGAAAGCTCAAGAGAATGGACCTGTGCTTAGAAAGTGTAGGGCAAAAGGTAAGTGCAGATGAGCCCTAGATCTCCCCCAACATCACTACCACTATGTTACCCAATCCACCAGCAGTGTTAGACCTGCTCCCTGGAGCTAGTTACATATGTTTTATTTATTTATTTGAGGTATTTACTTCCCCTCCACTCCTGGAAAAATGACGTGACACCCATGAGAACTTGATTTGGTTCTGGATCTTTATTTCGAACTTGAAGGACCAAGTTCCAAAGAGATCTGCGCAAATGCTCAACAAATCCAGATACAGATTATATACTGCTGGCTCCTTCTCAGTTTTGACATCAGTGAAGGCCACTGTAATGCTACGGGCATTACTCCATCCAATTAAGATGTCACTTTTGAAATTACAGACTTATCTCCCTCACTTTGCTCTCTCCATCAGTGTCAAGTTTCTGTTGGCATTAAACAAATGGATTTGAATGGCCAGACACAACAACAGTGAGGGGACCGTTAAAAGAGGATAATGGTGTAGGAGTTATTTGTCTCTGGTTAATTCATAGTGTCAAATGCCTATAATGTACCTGAGCAAGGTCAAGGGTGCATCGGTCACTAACCTTGCAAACCAGATTGTTTCATCCATCTGTAGGAGTGGGAGATATACACCGACTTGACTGCAGGAAAACAACACTCAGCTACTGAAGAGAACTCGGCTGCTCTGTAGGACAAAGATTATTCAGCATACACATAACTACAGCAAGCATTGATAACTTCAGGTGGTTACACAGTTTGGGCACACATTTTGCTATGCAACAGTCGTGCACAGCATGACACAGCAGCAGTCCTGAGGTAATTTTTTCCCTTTCTGCTTAACAAGAACTACCAATGTACATTTGCAGGGCTCTTTTTTCAGCCGGAACTCACCGGGACTCAGTTCTGGCACCTCTCAGGTGGGCGCCATTGTTATTCTAAGAGAACAAAAGAGGTGTTCTTGGTGAGTTCTAGCACCCCTTTTTCTAGAAAAATAGCACTGATATTTGGATTGTCTGAATGTGTTCTTATTTTTTTATGTATTTATAAAATGATGTATATGCCACCCTCTTGCGAAACATCAGGGTGACATTGTTGCTTAGTTGTCTTAGTCGTGTTTGACTCTCTGTGACCCCATGGACCAGAGCATGCCTTGGAAACATGACAAGGTAGTGATCCATGAAGGGGCAGGTTGACATACAGCAACATTAAAACATAAAATAAAAGCCATACACCCTTACTTAACTATTCTAAGCCACTAATGATCCATGATCAGAGGCATTATTGCTCTGAATACCAGTTGCAGGGAATTGCAGGTGGGCAGAGTGCTGTTGCGATCAGGTCCAGTTTGCAGGTTTCCTGGTTGGCCACTGTGAGAACAGGATGCTGGACTATATGGACCAGTAGGCTCTTCTTATGTTCTTTTTATTGGACAGACTATTTGCACGGAAGCCCTGCAATTTGAATGTCTAAGCTGCATTGGGCTGTCTAATAGCTTGCTTGCACCTTGCTCAGATGCCATTTCAAAAGAGCAATCAGGAGGAGGGAGGGCTGCCAAAAAGGCTAGGGTGCTGCACTTCTTTACCACTGTGAGCAGGCTGGCAGCACAACTGCATTCTCATCGGTCCAAATCCTTCTTAAAATGTGGTGTCCAGAACCAGATGGAGCTTTCCAGATGTGGCCTCAATGGCGATATGGACAAAAACGGCTCTTTATGGCTGTAAAGGAAGGAAGACTGCCCTTGCGCTCAGGTCCTCCTTGTGGGCTTCCCACAAGCATCTGGCTGGTCACTGTGAGAGCCAGATGCTGGGCAGCTGGCCTGCTCCAGCAGCCTCCTCTTCTGGGCTTATGTAGATCACTATGCTTCTATGTAGACTATTGGCTTTTCAAGCTGCCACACTGTGCTGCCAGCTCTTGCTCAGCTTGTGGTCACCTAAGAAGACACCTAGATCCTTCCCCACAGTACGGCTGGCCAGCTATGGAAGTCAAGAGTCATTCTATGTAGACGTGTTATGTACGTGTTACATTTCTACTTTCCATTCTTCCACTGAATGCAAGGCAGGGTACATAGGATTCCTAGACAGTGTCTCATCATCCAGGCAATGACCAGACCCAGACTCGCTTAGCTTGAGCAAGGTTGCATCACACATCTTCAGACCATGTGCTGAGACCGAGTAGCCTTCAGTCAGTGGTATTTTCCTCTGTAAGTGCAGGTTGCTTATGCTACCCTCCACACTCCAAACTCTCCCTTGTAACCTGTTACATTTGTAAGCCTTGCTCCTTTTTTTTCCAGTGAGAGAAAGGAAGGAAGGAAGGAAGGAAGGGGAGAAAGGGAAAGTCAAAGGCTACTATTCCAGTGTGCACGCAGGATCTGGATTACTTCATTTCTCTGTGTTGAAACCAATTTGCTGCATTAGGTTTCTATCTCTTGCATGTCCACATTACCACAAGCCTCCCCCCCCCTTTCCCCTTCTTCTTCTTCTTCTTCTTCTTCTTCTTCTTCTTCTTCTTCTAACCAAACAGACTCATCACTCTTTCCCACAGGATGAAAACATGGTTAAATACTTGCCATAAAAAAACCATTATGTGATGCAGCAGCCAAATGATACACTAATACTCCCAATGTAAGTGCTTTTTTGGCAGCTACTCAAAGGAACCAACCAAAAAAAAAAATCACATCGTTTTCAGACCCAGTGATAAGATTACACAAAAGAAAGCAAAATATACAAACTGGGTTGGCGATATATATTGTACGATAAATGGAGAAAAGCCTGGGATTCTTGTTGTTGCAACCTGTGCAGTTTACTGTAATCTTTCCATGAGGCATTGGTGCCAATAATTTGTATCCTTTGGGTATCCCTGAGAAAGCCAACAAGCATTAAGGATTTGAAAGATTCCTTTCCTGTGATTTCGTCTCCCAACTATTTCCTCTGTTCCAGAGGAGGCTTTCCGAGATGAAGCGGCAGCCAGTAGCAAACCTCTCTGATGCATCTTCACGTCAGATGCACAGATGCAAAGTGCATTCCCTAATGAGAGACAGCCAGTGAGGGAGAGAGAGAGATTCCTTTCTCATCAGAGAAGCATCCTCGCTGGATGGTGAAATTTCCCTACTTGATCCAAGATGGCGCCAGTGAAAGGGCTGCGTTTTCCAGCTGACGGAGAAAAGTCCAACGACAGGAGGCAATCTGTAAGCCTTACACAGAACAGAGTGCCTGCAAATGTGGCATGAGAGGGGGTAAGAGAAAAATTGATCTCTGTCCAAGTCTAAATCCTCCATTAATACTTAAAAAAAAAAGTTTCAGTAAGTTACATAGGATGACCAGATAGCGAGGAATTGCATTCTTTCTTTCTTTTTTGTTACTGATAATAGAAATCACATGTGAAGCTAACTGACTGGCAAAAATGTGCAAAATTTATCCCGATCCAAATCTTTGCACGGAGGTAAGAGGGTTCATACCAGTTTTCTCTAACAAATAAAACCTACACTGTCCTCTATTATCGTGTGTCTCAAGTAGATCGTGGAGGTAAGAAAGGGACACCAGGGACAGAGAAACTGACTGACTAAGGAATAACTTAACTACAGGAGAGGAGAAACTTTTCCACTTTTTAAGGGCCGCATTCCCTTCTGGGCAATGTTCTGGGGGCCACATGCCAGTGGTGGGTGGGGGCAGGCGAAGTGGGAGAAGTAACGAAAATAATTTTTATCTAGTTTCTACACAAAAGGGACACGGGTGGCGCTGTGGTCTAAACCACTGAGCCTCTTGGGCTTGCCAATCAGAAGGTCAGCAGTTTGAATCCCCGCGACAGGGTGAGCTCCCGTTGCTTGGTCCCAGCTCCTGCCAACCTAGCAGTTTGAAAGCACACCAAAAAGTGCAAGTAGATAAATAGGTACCGCTCCAGTGGGAAGGTAAACAGAGTTTCCATGCACTGCTCTGGTTTCGGTGTTCCAGAAACAGCTTAGTCATGCTGACCACATGACCCAGAAAAACTGTCTGCAGACAAATGCTGGCTCCCTCGGCCTGTAAAGTGATATGAGCGCCGCAACCCCAGAGTTGTCTGCGACTGGAGAGACGTCCGGGTCAGCGCCATTGGTGAATGGCGGAGTTCCTCCGACCGGAGGAATGGGCTCCGTGGAAACTGGGTCTTCCCGCCGCGGCGAAGGTGGGGACCCGCTAGAAATCCCAGGCAGAGGAAGCCTGGGAACGTGGGGTTCGGCAGGGCACCAGAAGCGCCCCCCTACTCGCGGGAAGCCCAGTGAGGGGCTCCGGCGCGACGTGGGGTGAGAAGCGCGGTGCTGCGAACTGACTGCTACTTTCACGGAGTGAAGCCGCACAGCCATTGCCAGAGAGCGCTGACTTTTTCCTGTGGACAATTGGACTTAAAACAAGTACCCATGAGTAGAAACGGAAAATTGGATCAAGAAATTGCTTAATTTGGTATCGAAGCGGGAAGGTACAAAACAGGAAGTCCGCCTTCCGCTTTTTGTATATAGACTAAAGCAAAAATTTTGTAAGCTAAAGCCGGGAAAGCTGTCAAAAAGCCTAAATTTCCTTCATTCAGAATCACTGAAACCCCCCTTGGAAGCAGGAGAAAGGGGGGGACTCTGTTTAACCCTAGCAGGAGAGGGAGTGAAGAAGGATAAGTTTCCACCGTCTCTAACCTGGGAATGGGGTGTCAGAGACAGAAACTGTTGGAGAGGTTCATTGACTGTGAATGGAATACTTTGACAGATAGCTAATGAAGAGAGACAAGTTGATTCTAATGTTGCCTTTTGCATTTTAAAGAAACAAAATATCTGAAAAACATCTGAAATATCTGGAAAATGAAAGTAACTTTCCTTTGCCTTTAAAAAAAAAATGGATACAAATAGAAATTGTCTCCTCTAGAGGGAGCTTGTTAAATTGTTGCTGCAGTATACTTGAGGACCCAACATCTGTGAGATTAAGATCGTGGGAACAGTCTTTTCTGACCTTGACCAAAGATGAGCTGGGAGGAAGATTGGGTGCTTGCTTTATGCAAAACAAATGCCTTGCTGGAACAGATGCACGAGAAGATGGACTTGATGAATGAGAAAATGGATTTGACTGTTGTGGTTAATAACTGTGGACAAACAGGGAACATTGATACAGAAATCATCCAGGGACCAACCTATGATTCTCTACTGACTGGGCAAGTGCAGATGATAATGAAGGAAGATGCGGTTGCACCTCAAATAATACAAATGGAGAGACCCGAGGCCCTACAGGAGCATAAGCCGCTGTCATTGAAGATTGAAGTTGAAGTGGGCCGGGGGGGGGTTGGAGATGAGGAGGTTCCTAACTTTGGAGAGACCTTGAAATATGACATTAAATACTTTTTGGATTATATCGAGGACTGTGGGGAGTGGGACTGTGGGGAATGGGCGGGCTGGATGAAGGGAGATGGAGACAATTTTGTGTTGGAATCCCACAGAGACCTACTCCTCAATGAGAAAGGAAAGAAATTAAGAAAGAGACCAACAAAAGACAAGGAAAAGGGCAAGTATAAACAAGAAGAAGAAGAACTGCAGAAGGGACATGGAAGAGACTTAAGGGCCTCGGACATAAGGCTTCCAGGTTGATGGACTAGATGGAATGGACAGTAAGGACTGACACGATCCGAGACCAGGAAGAAGAGACGCTGGATGATGATTGGAAGAAAATTTATAAAGGAAACTTTTTATTTAGAATTAGCTTAATGAATATTAGGGAAAATGTTGGAATGAAACTA